AGGAGTTTTATGCCCTAATCCCCGTGTTGTCCAAAAGCAGAGTTATCCAGCCTTATTTCATCTTCTAGCTCTTGGTCTGTAGCCTTTTAATTTACGGTATCTTAAGTGCGCATTGAAGTGTTTTTTTTCTAAAATGTAATGAGAGCATCTGCCACTAGACAAGCTATAACCCACAAACTGTCTACATTAGGGGGAGGGCTACTGACTGAGTCAAGCTGACACTGCAGTCATGCCAAATTGTTTCATTTAGTTAGTAACAATAAGTACTGGTTGAGTGTTTTGTAAGGCTATAATTCATGTTTAAGATGCAGCAGGAAAAGAAACTTTCTGTTATAGCAGCCTTTGCAAATGGGATATTTCCTTATTTTTCTTCATTATTGGTACAGTTCTCTTTAATTAATAGAACCTAATTAATGATTTACTGTTACAGTAGCTTCTCAGAGGTACTCCTAAATTTGACAATCAGATTGGATATGTCGGTTAATCTTTGTTATGAGTGGCTCCATGAGGCCTTTTCCATTTCCTGTAAATCTGTTCCTCGTCTTGGGCATGTTCAAGATTCAGCTCCTGGTGAATATGACCCTTCACATTTTTCTAGCAACTTCAGTTAGTTTCTCCACATTCGGTTATTAATCACTTTAGTGTGATGTGCTGATTCAGCTTTAGAATTGATCAAAATGTCACCCTCGTTAAGGACCAACTTTGAAACTCATGAATCTAGGTTTAAGGCGTGGAGACTGAATGGCAAGGATATAGTAGCATCAGGTTTGTTAGACATCACAAGATCACAATGAAGTACCTTTATAATAGTTTGAAAAAGGTCTGAATTTCCAAGGGGTGATGAACTCATGCAGATTGCCCACTGTGCACACAAATGGGCTTTTTTCATATTGGAAGAATGAGAGGAGTGGGGTTCCACTGGTCCAGCTTTTCTGCCTTTTCATTTGCTTATCGTTTGGGCTCCCTATGTTTGGGACCTACCACATAATTGCACAGTGACTGATCAGGGAAGGAGCTGAGCTCCAAAAGCTTGCATTTTCAAATAGACCTGTTGGACTGTAATCTGGTGGCGTGTGATTTTTTTGGCCTTTTTTTGAAAAGAGGGAGCTCTGCATTTCTGAGAGGAAATTCCATTTGGGTCTCCCTTGGAAATGCGGAGCTGCACTTACAGGCTGACAGTTCTTTCATTGTGCAGGACCGTCAGAAGAAGACAAACCATGTCCATTTTCACAGCAGTCAGCTGCTGTACTCTGCCATTTAGAAATCACGACAGCTACTTTGACAATAACTACATAAGTGAGATGTTCGGGTGCTTGGAGGACACGGTGACAAAGGACCCAGGTAAATGATGCAGTTTTTAGGGTAGGTAGGAGTGGGTGCTGGTTTGGGAGGTGGGGTTGTCCAAGTGCAGAGTGGCAAGGCAAGTGAGGAATGTGCCCAGCAGTGGGGCAAGATGATATGTGTCCAGTGTTGAAGGGAAGGGAGCATTGGGCACAGAGAACTTGGGTGGAGAGGTGTTTTGGGAATGATGTCCAGTGGCAGGGAAAGAGGGGCTTTAGATGTGGAGTGAGAGAAGGATGTAGCATGCTCAGCAGTGAGGATGTGGGTGTTGGATTTGGTGATCTTGAGGGTGTCAGGGGTCTGGCAGAAGTACAGTTGGGTGTGCATCAAGGTGAGTTTGGGGTTAGTTGATCAGTTACTCAGGAATTAGACTGTGTATTTAATGTTATGCTGAACTGGCCCCTGCACAGTCAAAGCAAGTAACTCTTTCATCCCTGTGCTTCAGTAGTTCTGACCATCTCTGAAAGTAGGGAACTGCAGATGCTGGAGAATCTGAGATATCAAGGCGCAGGGCTGGATGAACACAGCGGGTCAAGCAGCATCAGAGGAGCAGGAAAGCTGATGTTTCAGGCCTAGACCCTTCTTCAGAAAAATCATTTTTCTGAAGGAGGGTCTAGGCCCGAAACGTCAGCTTTCCTGCTCCTCTGGTGCTGCTTGGCCTGCTGTGTTCATCCAGCTCTGCACCTTGTTATCTCTGAAAGTAGTATTTGGTTTTTCTGCCTTTTTCATTTGCTTATCGTTTGGGCTCCCTATGTTTGGGACCTACTACATTATTGTACAGTGACTGATCAGGGATCCTGCTACTCCGTGTTCAAAACCAGTATCTCTCCTGACCTGCACAGAGCAAGACCGTTGTTTCATGTTGGTAATTATTCCATCAAGAAGGCAACAATGCCATATTACATATGATGATCAGCTTTATAGACAAAGGTCCGCAACCCAGCTTCATAATCTTATTTCCTACATTTAATTATTGTCGACAACTGCAATACAAAAAACGCAGAACTTTATGGGTTCCTGGGCATTTCCTTTCTTGGATGACACATTTTCTAAATTAGGATGGCAGCTTGTTGCTGTGCATTACAGGAAAAAAGTTCAAAGTAGGAAAGGAAATGTTTCTTTTGCAGTTTTCAGTAATGTCAACCAATTGCTGATTCGGTTCTTGCAGGTTGAATTGAGTGAATTATTCCATGCCGATTAAATGCAAGGTCAGTTAAGAATGAGGAATCACAATTTTGCTACAGCTGACTAACAGTAAGATATAGAATATACAACATGGGTGTGGAAGATCTAACAACAGACTGCTATTGGAAAACACTTGTCTTGAAGATAACATGCACTTAAATGCAGAAATATTAGCTATTCAGTCATAGCTTTTCTAGAAATCTGTTAATCACGTGCCTTTGTAGCAAGTAGTTCTTATGCAAAAATGATTGTTTCTTTGTTTTGCATAGAATGAGATCAGTTTAAAATCTATTGAAACTTGCTGTTTCAACATCTGCTCCAGTTACACTACTAGAGTAAGATGTAATCCACTTCATTATATGCTTAAAATGAGTGTGAATTATTGATGCCGAACTTCAAGGAATCTTGAGAAAGTAAATTATTTTGATTAGCTTGTTTTATTCAATCCACAAGACTGAAGCGATTCTGTTTATACTAACATTTCTTCCATATAATTAACACTTTGATATATTTGAAACATTATCCTGTGATTTTGTTACCTTTCTTGCTTGTTGTAGCTAATGTAATCCTGTTAAATACGGGTAAAACTGTTGCTGTGACAGACGTTGAGAAAATTATGGTCGCCAATCTAGTCAGTTGCACATAACTAATTTTCTACTTTCTTTCTGTATTGTCTACACTTTTTGAATTGTGAATTGTGGGCTGTCTTTTTTTTGGAAATGCTCAACATGATCTTGTTAAACATTTTAAACATTTTCATGTTTGCAGAAAATTAGAAGATGCGCTATTTTATAAAAGTAGTTATACTGCTGCTGAGAGGCAGGTTTGTGTAGTGCAGCCTGCCCCTGAAAGGCCACAAAGTCTGCTATAATTCAGCTCATTTATTTTCAAGCACGTCCTGAAATCAATTGAGATTAAAACTGCACAGAGCAGAAAGTGACTTTGTTTTAGAAAATTCATTTTGTTGTTACAGTTTACAAAAAAAAAAGTTTTAAACTAATTGTGATGGTTAGAAGATACTCCTCCATACCTCGGTGACCTACTGTGGCATTGCTCATGGTGAGGTAGGAGAACAAAATAAGTTTTTAGTGCAATAGTTGGAGATCCTAATGCAGTTCTGAGCCTTTCATTCAGTTCCAATTATCATGAAAGAGCTTATTGTTCCATGAACAGGATTGGGGCCAGAGAATTTTAAGTGACAAGTGCTCTTCTTGAAAGAGAGTATAAGGATAAACCCACATCTACAAGCCAGTCAGTTCACTTTCTGTGTTGGGAAAGCTTTTTGACAGAATAATCTGGGACAAAGTTAACAATCATTTGGACAAGTACGGATTAGTTAAGGAAAACCAGGACAAATTTGTTAAAGGACAATTGTGTTTAACTAACTTGGTTTAGTTTCTTGATATCATGCAGTTGATGTGGACTTCCAAAAGGTGCTCAATAATGGTAAGCTTGCCAGCAAAGTTTAAGCTTGTGACATAAAAGGGACAGTAGCAGCTTAGATATAAAGCTGGCTGAATGACAGGAAACAGAGCTGTGATTGAATTGTTGTTGTTTGAGCTGGAGAAGGGAATGCAGTGGAGTTCCTCGGGGGGTCATTGTTAGGACTGTTGCTTTTCTTAAAATATATTTGATTTGGATGTACAGGGCACAGCTTCAAAACTTAAGAGGTCACAAAATTTGGAATTATTGTGAACTGTGAGGAGGATAGTGATAAATTTCAAAAGGACATTGAGTAGTGGAATGGGTGGGCACATAGTAGATTAAATTTAATGCAGAAAATTGAGAGATGCTTTTGTAGGAAGAATGGGGAAAGACTACATAAAATAAAGGATGCATTTCAAACGGTTATGCAAGAACAGCAAGACTAAAGGAGAGTGGAATTATTGTGAAAGTTGCAGTAGAATTTACTTGACTGTTTACTTGATTGGTGGGACATGGGTGTCATGGCATTCCCACAAGAGTGGTTCTAGTCGTTTCTTAAGTGTGCTAGGATTCTCTCTGTATAGGGGCTGAGGATTTTGATGCCAGGTACCCCTCCACCAATCTGGACCCTTTCTGATCTATTGTGGGTCGTCTTCTCCTGGAGTGAGAGAAAGGGAGGGATTGAGTGAGATGAAAATGCATGGCATTAGCTAGTATTAGTGCTGGTATAGGTGGTTGAAGTGGTGAGTGGAAGTTGGAGGCAAGGTGAGAGTAAGTGAGGGAAGATGTTGCAGGCAATTGTGACAGTGGCAGAGCATGAGCTTTGCTGGGAGATGGATGCAGTGGCAGCTATTGAGAGGTTCTAGCAGATGTGCAGTGGAACAAATTAGATCTTTGTGTTGTAACCATGCTATGATTCTATGATCACTAAGCCTTTCTGCAAACCGCTTGAAAGACAGTGATGTCCCTTTGACTTTGGATTTATAGGTAGATGACAAATTGCTTGGGACTTTTGATGTGTAAGTAATTCATTCTGCATTTTTTTTTAGTCAGCGGAATCTGGCTGAAATTACAGAACTGATCCACACAGCTTTTCTCGTGCATCGTGGTATAGTGAATATTATGGAGGTGACTTCGTCCCATGGGTCACTGAAGGATATGCAGTTTGGCAATAAGATGGCGGTCCTGAGTGGAGACTTTCTTCTGGCAAATGCATCTACAGGCCTTGCTCAGTTACAGAACACTAAGGTACTGAACTGCTGTTTTGCATAGCTTGTGTAACATACGAGAGAGCAGGTTCTTTTCATTGCAAATGATATGTTAATTAAAATCTAATTTCATGACGTGCATAAATGAATGCATTGTAACTGCTTCACAAACATTTGTAATAATAAGGAGGAGTCATTTCTATTTTAATTTGGCATAAAATGCAAGTTTTGTAACCACTGTGGTAAATTGTAGGCTGCTATTGTACTGATCATTTGTCTCTACAGATAACATCAACAATGGAAGAACCAGTTTGTTAGACTTCAGTTATCTTGGCACCTAAATTCTTTTATCTTTCTATTTTTCTCCTTTTTCCACTCTTAACACCCTTAACCATGATCTTTTCAACCAAACTTGGGACATCTCTGCCAGCATCAGTTCCTATTTGCTTGTCTTTAAATTCTCTCCCTAATTGCATACACCGCTACTTCCTCACGATTGATTTAAGTTTTCTTAAAAGTTCACCTCTTTGACTGCTCGTGGCAACCTCTCATTTGGATCAGCATTCATTTTCCTAGCGACATTGTCAAGAAGGCAGGTAGACCTTTAAATCTCTTCTAAAGCTAATATTGAGTTGCCAATTAGAGATGCTTGGAAGCTGGGCAATGACACTTTCCTAAATTAAATGACAGCTTCCTACATGTCATGTCAAGACGCAAAATGTGACCTCGATCATCAGCCTATAGAATCTTACGAAGCTTGTGTCTCAACAATAATGTAGTTCTCAGAATGACCTGCATTCAGGAGGTCATTCAGCCCAACTTGTTTGTACTGATTTTCAAAGATCTGGCCATTGATTTATGTCTGTAAATTTTGGAGGAGTCAGGTAGTGAGGTATTAACTGCACGGTTCCCAACATCTGACTTGCACTAGTTGCCACATATTTATACAGTTACCCCAGTTGAGTTTCTGATCAATGGTAGTCCCCAGGATGTTGATAGTAAGGGATTCAGTGATGGTGATACCATTGAATGCCAAGGGAGGATGTGCTCATTGGAGATGCTCATTGCCTGGCACAAATGTTACTTGCCACTTATCAGCCCTAGTTTGCATATTATTCAGGTCTTGCTGTATTTCGATATTGACTACTTCAGTATCTGAGGAATCACAAATGGTGTTGAATATTGTGCAATCATTAGTGAACGTCCCCATTTCTGAGCTTATGACAGGGGGAAAGTTAGTAATGAATCAGGCAAAGGAAAGGACACCACCCTGAAGAACTCCTGCAGTGATGTCCTGGAGTTCAATTGGCTCCAATGACAACAACTATCTGCCCTTTTGTCAATTATGTCTCCAGCTGGTGGACACTTTTCCCCGTGATTCCCATTGACTCCAGGTTTATGAGGGTTCCTTAATGCCACACTCAGTCTCTGGAAATGAGATAAACCAATTAGAGTTGAGATGAGGGGAAATCTCTTCACCTCAACAGCAGTGAGCCCGTGTAATTCTCGACCAGCGAAAGCGGTTAAGGCCGAAACATTACTTGGTTTTGAGAAGGAATTGGATATAGCACTTGGGACTAGAGGGATCAAAGGCTATGGAGGAGAATCAGGAACAGGTTATTGCTTTGGTGATCAGCCACGATCATAATAAATTTTGGAGCAGATTCGACGATCTGAATGCTTCTGTGTTAATTCTAAGAAGGCAAGTTCTGTGAACCTTAAGAAGCTTTCTTACGCTGTGGAATTGGCAGCTTCAAACAGATTGACAATAAGCTGTAAAGAAAATTATTTGAGGATATGAAAAATCCTGTTTAAATTTGTTTTTCTTAAAACTCTTTAAACAGTTTTTGTCTCTTTATCCATCTGCTACATGTAGATGTGTATTGAGGTTCTGTGAATTTACCTCAGATTATGTAAAAGCAAATGATATGTAGGGTATGCAGGGTAGTTTGATCTTAGTAGGATAATAGGTCAGCACAACATCGTGGGCCGAAGGGCCTGTACTGTGCTGTACTGTTCTATGTTCTATGTGGTAGGGGAGGGGCTGGGTGTGAAGCACATCTGATCTATCAATCCGTGCAACAAATTTGTAATCCAAGGCATACATATGGAGAAACTGGCTAAGATTGCCAGTTGTGCTTAGGCACACTAACAGTTAATTAGCAAATTTATTGTTTCAAAAAATTGTTGTGATGTGGGAACGTCCAGTTATTTTCAAAACATTATTGTAGCATAGTCAGTAACAGATGGAGCCAAACTCCCATCCATCTGCACAACGCATTCATCCCCATATGTATTTAGGGGCAACAATTAAATATGAGATTGAGGAATTTCTATCTTACACAGTTTTAATGAAATGCAAATCTCTTTGATTATTGCCAAGGGTAACTTTAGCTGATTCAATTATTCTTCCTCAGGCATTTATTTCCCTGTGGATACCATAAGTGTGTTTCCTGGAAGAAATGCTTTTGATACATTTTAAAAAAGATTTTAAGTGTTATGTAGTCTTCTGAATTTACAACAAAGTTGCTCCCTTTGTAGTGTGAGACTATGAATTACAGGCAAACATTGACTATTGTATTAACATTATATTATGTAACTAAATGCATTTGATAAGTAACAAAATGCCTAAATCATGGCAGATATTAACACTAGTAAAGAATGGCTCTTTTATTATGCAAACAGTGCAATAATTACAAAAGTCCACATGAACAGATGGGTCTTTAGATAATTTTTAAAAATGCAGAATATTTTCTAAATAAATACGCAATTGCATTCTCAGTGTCTTGGAATTAATAGTTAACTCCTGAGAAATTTTACAACAGTGAATTTTTTAGATTTTTTATATACTTTTTGTAATGTTAAGTGATGGATGCAATCTCTGCAAATGTTTAAGTCTTTTGAATCAATATTTCTGTTTGGAACTGCCCTGTATGGCTTTTCCAAGCAGGTAGTAATGCTTGTACTATGTAATCATAAAGTTACAATACTGCATTTTAATGGAATGATTGCTGGGCATTTTATAGTCTAGAGCATTACTTGATTGCCTTGAGTGGGGGAGGGTGGCACTGACAATTGTTCAGTGTTTCTTTTGCTTAGGGGGGTAATTATGATGGAGTCCTTAATTTTGCATGATCTATGGAAGGAATGCCCTTTTGATTCTATAATTCTTCACAGCTTTAAACCTTTTTCAAAGGCACAAAGCAAAATTTAATGTATGCCTGAAAAGCAAATGGGCCATCAAAGACTAGTTCTCATACATTTTAACTTGTGCAAGTTGATTTGAAAGGTTCTCCATCAACTGCTCGTAATAATCACTGTATAGATCTGTGTATATACACAGAAAAGGAAGTGATAAGTACTTTTGGCACACAGACTTAGAAACAATTTCATACTTGTGGGCAAAACTCCTTCATTTATACATTTGAAAGTTTCTCTATAATTATTATTGAGGTAAGTTTAATGATTTTCTTCCACAGTGTATTGAGACTGAAGTGTATGTTTCAATATCAGACTGTCGAGTTTGGTAGTTACTGCTTGGTACCAGCTTCAACAACAGAAGTATTCAGCATTAAGATTCAAATTTGACAAGCCATTTTTCTTTTATTCATTCATGGGATGAGGGTGTCACATGGTTAGGATGTCATCCGAGAGAGCATTTAAGAATCAACCACATTGCTGTAGGTCACGTACAGGCCAGACCAGGTAAGAATGGCAGTTTCCCTGCCTACAGGACTTGAGTGAACCAGAAGGATTTTTCCAACAATGAACAATTAGGACGGCACGGTGGCTCATTGGTTAGCACAGCTGCCTCGCAGCGCCAGGACCTGGGTTCGATTCCAGCCTCGGGCTACTGTCTGTGTGGAATTTGCACATTCTCCGTGGGTTTCCTCCAGGTGCTCTGGTTCCCTCACACAGTCCAAAGATGTGCAGGGTAAGTGGATTGGCTATGGTAAATTGCCCATAGTGTCCAGGGATGTTTAGATTAGGTGGGTTAGACAAGGGAAATGCAGGGGTAGGGGAATGGATCTGGGTGGGATGCTCTTCAGAGGGTCCGTGTGGACTTGGGCCAAATGGCCTGTTTCCACACTGTAGGGGTCCTATGATTCTATGAACAGTGCGTTTGTGGTCATCACTCAACTCTTAATTCCAGATTTTTACTGATGTCAAATTCCGCCATCTGTTGTCGTGGGATTCAGACCAGATCCCCGAATGTTACCCGGGTCTGGATTAACAGTCCACCGATAATACCATTCAGCCATCACCTTCCCACCATGGAATCAAGGGTTAAAAATTTCAACTTGGCTCATAGTTTTGGTTTTTATGAAATGATAGCCAAACCCTCCTCAACATTAATACAGGATCCTCGTATAAAGTAACATCCACTAATGAAACATACTTCCTGGTAAAAGAGATAATTCGTGGTGTGCATGAGGTATTTTGTTGTTTGCCTGTTTAGATGAAGAGAGTTCATCCTGCTGATGATTGTGGCTAACATGCACTGATTATGATATTGGCCTGTTGACGTAGAAATTTGAATATTCAAATTCCACCCTTCATGTTGTGGAGCTGAGTAATTTTTTGACCAGAAAATGTGGCCATAACCTGGTTGCTCATAAGCTAAAATGACCTAACAGTCTAGTCAGTTACATTTCAAGAAGACATCCCACTACCTCAGATAACTTTTGGCCTTGTACAGTCAGAGTGGGGGAGTAAGACTGAGACAGAGTAAGTAACTGGGAATTTGGGTCAAAGTGGGAATTTACTGGTAAATCTTTTACAGGTTCAATTCTTACTTCTAATGGGGTAAATGCTTAGAGGATGTTTCCTCTCTTGAGAGAGTCTAGCACCAGAGGGCAGAATCTTAGAATTAAGGGCTGCCAATTTAAGACTGAGATGAAGTGGAATTTCTTCTCTCAGAAGGTTGGGTGTCTTTGGAGCTCCTTGCCACAGAGAGCTGTGGGGGCAGAGCCCTTGTGTATATTTAAGGCAGAGTTAGATTTTTGATCAATCAGGGAATGAAGGGTTCTCGGGAAAGGG